GTAACAAAAGAAACTAAGCAAAATGACAATGATACATAAAAGAACAAAGGACTACTAGCAGTTACTGACATGCCAGTTCCAAACCTCAATTAAACCGATTGAAAGATTAGGTCTTCATCATATAAAAATCAAGTACAATCCCTCCCGTTAGTGGTTTAGTATCATACCATCATAAAATATATGAGAAGAACATAACCCGTATCATGCCAACAACTGGTTTTAGAATAAATGTGTTTATTTCCGATGCAAAGACCCTATGAGTGAATCAATATTAATACCAAAATATGCAATCCTTAATGACTTGACAACAGTATCGTAACTATATCTTTTCCGAATAAGTCTGTTTAAAGGTTTGGTTAGCTTTTGAGGTGAATGCCGACATTTTTGTGCTTTGTAAAGAATATTACCATAAAATATTGGATGTGAAATACCTGAACGTATAAGATGTCTGCATGTTGATTTATATTTACGAATGATGTCCTTGTACCGATGATAAAATTTTAGTTTGCGATATCGAAAACCCTGGTGTAATAGTTTTTCAGTAATACAGAGATTTCTTTCGTTGAAATCAAATACGTTGTTACATACACGAGCGAATCGAACAAGTTTAGATATATAAACACCATAAGATGGCGACAAGGGAACGTCACTATCTAAAAATGGATAATTAACAATACGAAATGAAAAATCATCTCTTTTATCTTAAATTTTGGTATTATGTTGAGTTGTAACGTGAAAGCAATTTTTACTTCTGCCGTGCAGCCACGTCCTGTTTGTCGATAGTTTGAAATTTTACTCTTATTGTAAAAGGAATATTATCATTGCTTCTATGCAAGGGAATGGTTTTATAATTGGTCTGCAACTTGATAACTTCGTATGGCAGCATTGTACAAGTAAAAATTGGCTTCAATGAAGGGAAATGATCAGTTCACATGTTACTTCAATCAATTACATTCAGCGATGCAGGTCCAGACACGGTGTTTGTCTTGTTTGCATTTCCATAAAATTATCAATTTATACAAGACGTAGTTACATGTTTGTTTTGTTTAGTTTCATAAAATTAAATATTTATATTATTCATTTGCATTATCGTGTATTATTGTTATGTTTATCTAATTATCATTATCATTATAACCATCGCTATCCTCATCATCATTTCTATTATTTTGATTAGTTAATCTGATGCATTTTATCTTAATATCTATTTTCCCCCTTTTATATCCTCTTAAACATGAACATTTAGGACAATGGTTTGGATATCCTTGCTGAATAAGTCATAACATAGCTTCAATGTGCATTCTTATGGATGTCATTAGACAATCCTAACATTATTTTGATTTATATCCTAAGAGTAGGGTATATCTTGAGACATATCTCAGGACAGCTTTGATAAACCATCCCTTGGTTCTCCATGTAAGACATTTTGAGAAACAAGAATTTTAATAATCTCACAAATATATTTTACGATAGACCCAACACAAATACCGATTGACAGTGGTGTTTAGGACAATCATATTATTGCGCCGTTAATTCAGTATTTTCAGAGAAGCATTGCAGTTAGTAAAGTTAAGATAGTGTACTATATGAAAGTTTTAAATAAGTTGTGTGTTTGTTGAATCCATGTGCCGCAAAACGCTGTTATTGTTATTATCATAATTATATAATAAAGCTAAATTATTTTTCTAGATGATTAATATGTTGTGGAATCATGACCTTTGCATTTATAAAAAAGTATATTATAAATAAGTAAACACAAGCTGCTGTTTAGATATTGCAGCAGCATGAAGCAAACAATGTATGCCGTACCAGCTCTCTTAAAATGGTTGCTGATCAATAAAAGAGAGGCGAAAGATACCAAAGGAACAATAAAATACCAATCAAGTTTTTAAACAGTTTTTTTTTCTGTTCATAGACATATTACACGAATCATTATTATCTAATAGTTCAACTATAAAAATACGGCGGAAGATATCAAAGGGATATTAAAACTAATCAGTCGAAAACGAACTGTCATTGCCTTGGCAAAAAACGAAAAACGACTAAAAGATAAACTGCAGTCTACAAAACACAGAAAACTAAAGACGGAGCAAAACGAACCCCACCAAAAGAAATAAAATGCTCCGCGAGGTGCAGCTTGATACGACCGCAAAGTTCAAAGCCTGAACAGTTGTGGCAAGTCAAGTTTGCCGCAGCTTTAAATTTAGATTGTGATTAAATTATTGACACATCTTAGGTTTTTGACACAGAATGAATGTGGTAAAAAAACTAAAAAAATTGAAATTGGACTATACCTATTATGGTCCAATATCCAAAATCTCAATAAACGGTTAGATTCAGCATATCCAAGTAACCATGAATTTTATTATTAATTTATTAATTGACAATATTAGCTAAGTTTTTAAAGGGGTTCGCTTCATCAAAAAAAAAATATATATGTATAGCGTTCTGAAAATTAATTTATATAGAATAACAAAAAACAAACCAAGAATTTCTTCAAAATTAAAAAAAAAATGAAATAACAATTTCCAGCATACCATTCATCATTAATGCAATGTCTTAAAAAATCTATAAAACTTACCTTTATTTTTTTCCGAAGTATCTAATAAATTGCATACTATATTTATACATAATTTCTTCTCTAAAATTAGAATTTGATGCTGTATCTATTTTTAACTATGAATCAACTTACAATTTCTATAAATTGTGCACTTCATATTACAATCACTCACAAGTATGGACACAACATTCAAGCTTGATACAGCTCTAAATTTGGATAATCCCCTTTTCCCCGAATGTGACCTACCGTATAAGACTTATTACCGGGTTTGTACTAACATGAGCAACACGACGGGTGCCACATGTGGAGCAGGATCTGCTTACCCTTCCGGAGCACCTGAGATTACCCCCAGTTTTTGGTGGGGTTCGTGTTGCTCAGTCTTTAGTTTTCTATGTTTTGTTTTGTGTACTGTTGTTTGTCTGTTTGTCTGTTTGTCTGTTGGTCTTTTTCTTTTTTTAGCCATGGCGTTTTCAGTTTATTTTCTACTTCTGAGTTTGAATGTCCCTTTGGTATCTTTCGCCTCTCTTTTTACACAGCATAGGTTTCTGACACAGAATTAATGTCATAGAACTTTAAAATTTGAAATTGGACATTAGCCTATCCAGAATCTAAAAACACGGTTAGATTCAGCATATCAAAGAACCTCAAAAATTCAAGACTTTAAATTAAACCCCATTGAAATTGGTCAAGAAATAAGCAATTTATGCAAAGTATTGGAAAAGTATTGTGTTTGGCCCCTAATTCCTATGGCCATAACCCCCAAAATCAATCACAACCTTCCCATTTTGGTATAGAACCTTGTGGTACAATTACATAGAGATCCATAGACTCTAATTTGGCATTAAAATTAAAAAGATCATATCATAGAGAACATGTGTACTAAGTTTCAAGCTGATTGGACTTCAACTTCATCAAAAACTACCTTGACCAAAAACTTTAACCTGAAAAACTTTAACCTGAAGCGGGACAGACGGACGGACGAACAGAACGAAAAACATAATGCCCATAAATGGAGCATAAAAATAAGTAAAAATGACGTTCTATTGTATTATTTAATTATTTATATTTCAGTTTGCATTTGACATGAAGATATGTAGGGAGCTGTCAAAAGAACAAGTGTCTAGAAAATGAACAGCAACAGCAGTTTACATAAAACCTCGAAAATCCATTAGAATATACAATCAAGATAAACAAACGTGAGGGAATTGTAAGAACTCAAAACAGGACAAGACCGTGCTTTTGCAGGGTTAGCGTCTCCTGCAATGCAAATGCCATTAAATTCCAGACTCAGTCGAAAATGTCTCGATAATCAATTAGACACAATCGGTAAATTGAAAGATCAGAAGACTAGTTTAGTGTCCTAAACTTGTGTGGTGTCGATATCGGCATTCTTCCTCGTAACCCTGCTAGAGGTGTTTTTAGGTGAGGAGCAGACCGGTGTTAACCCGACGTATCGCTTGAAAGATGTAAACGTCATACGATGTGGCAGAGGGTATACCAATATTTGACCAATCTTTGACAGTTATTACTAATGTTGGGAGATCTGAAATCGTAACGTTTGTCATAGATCATGGTCTGTAGTCGTCAATCTGCATCGATTTTAAGGTAGCAATATAGATGTCAAGCAGACCTCTATTTTCCATTAGAATCCTTAATGTCAAGTTGACTGGGATATATAAGATGCAAGCCACAGCTGAAATGTGAATTACTGAGTGACAGGACATCGTTAATTGATTTTAAACTAAAGAACTGAGCAAGCTACTTTCTCTTTTTGTCATTGAAAAGGTTTTTTCATGTTTCAGCTAAAAAAGGTTGGTATTTCTAACACCTGCTCCAGATTATACTGTAAAATGTCAAGTAGCTTCTGTGGTCTTGTTAGCAAAAACAGATGTCGAGATATAATGGTTGCAGGGACTACTGTAAAATGAATTGTCCTGAGTTGACTTCTATAGCTGCTAGTTCTAATGGTCAATGTACATGTCCATAATTATCAGCTTTCATCTGCCCTTGACGTAATTTAACCAAGACCTTCATAATGAAATATTCCCTTAAAATGTCCTTATTTAGAGAAAACGAATAAAAAGCCTGGTAACATGATGTTTACTGATATATAAGATGCAAGCCATAACTGAAATGTGAATTACTGAATGACAGGAAATCGTTAATTGATCATAAACTAAAGAACTGGGCAAGCTACCTTCTTTTTTTTTACAAAGTCCTTCATAATGAAATATTCCTTTTAAATGTCCTTATTTAAAGAAAATGTATAAAAAGCCTAGTAACATGATGTTTACAGCCAGGCTAACTGCCTCCTATCTGCCCTTTGTGGGTTTACTTCCTGTCGTCAATTAGTTTTATTAAATTACCTAGGCAATATCTCTGACTATCTAACAAATGATGATTTGTACTGGTGTAAATGTACTGAATAAAATACAGACAACCGTCATGAAAATATTTCTTTATTCTGGAACAGTCTTCATCTTAATAATTTAACAATTAAAATAATGCAACATGTAAAAGAGACAAAAATGGTTATAACAATACACAAAACAATAAATAAAGACAATATGTAACAAAATCATTTGAATACAAATCATCAACTTCTTGTGTGAAATGGAATCTAATTATCAGTTTACAGCTGAGATACTATGTCACATGAAAGGATAGACTTTTTACTTTCTTCATTCAAAGTGAAACCTTTAAAGTTAGTAAACCTACAATTTAGCAGCCATTCAAATTCTAAAGGAAAGCTGTTAATAACTGGTGACATTCCTATTTTTTGTTTTGAATTAACAAAATTTTTTGTTTTGAATTAACAAAATGAATATCTTTGAAATAAAAGCAAAAATTACACATATTTTTTTAGTGATGTTTATATCCTTGCTATGACAAGAAATTGATACAAAAAAGATAACCAATTAATTCCTTTAACTTGACTTTATTAAATACCATGAAACATGTAGGTTTATAGTTTTAAAAAACGAAGTTGGGATGACTTTTAGACTTTTTTAACATAGTTCTTAACAAAATCGATTCCTCTTAAATAAATTATCAAGGTCATTCAACACTTTTATCAAGACTGAGATCAAAATATTTTGGTAACAGAGGCAACATTACTTTAAATGACAATTAGAAATAAAAACTATGTACACATTCAGCATTTAGTGGATGCATTTGTTTTATCTGTAAATTATTCACAATTTTACATTTAATCACTGATAAATGGGTAATATTCCATTGCTAAATATTGAGAACTATTGTATCCACAGGCTGAACAAAAAATCTTTTATATTATCTTTATAGATGTTATTTGCAAAGTGTGATCAGGGCATGTCTATTTTTCAAAACCTACCAGCCGCCCTAAGAAAAGACATAATATAAATTTAAAATATGCCATTTTTTAACATCAAAATCAAACTACACGTAATTATACAATGTGTTGAATTGCACAAAAAAAATTAATTTGGACATACATATGACTAGAGATCAAATGCCCCCCAAAAAAATCCTATCATGTTGATTTTCAATGGATTTTCCTGAAGAAAAATATATATGACTGTTTTTTTTCTAAAATCAGACAATCAAAACCTACCAGCAACTGGACATACACAAAAAGAGCTGTAACATTTTCATGTTATCTACAAGGTATAGTTTCATTACACACAACACCATATCTCCCTATATATAGGATACTACTGTTAACCAGGAAAAGAATTTCAAGACAGTAAACCAGTAATACACCATATACTGTCTGTGGTGTACAGTATATTGCTACTGATTCCTGCTTGTAGTTCTGTCACAGTAAATGGTTCTGTCGTTAAACAGCAAGGATCTAGATTATAGTGATTTCTAGAAAAAAGGTGAATATAATATTAATACAAGCAAGCAAGGCAGTGTTTCTAAATTTATGCACCCATAAAAAAAATTAAACTAATATGACTCAAAACCCAATATTACATTAAACAAACCGAAAGACTTCCTTCTGAACCTCTCTTATTGACGGAATAACCAAATACATACATGAAACGAAGCCTTGCCTTACATACATTTTACTTTGAAAATTTAAATAATGGTAAATACATTGTAATAAACTATCCTAAAAAAAGTAAAAACAATCTTAAGATTGGAATATTGTTTTACTTTAATGGTCAGTGTGAACCTTACAGATTTAGTAACATATATGATAATAATAATATAAGTTCCTCTTTACAATCTAGTTAGTTTGTCTTTGAGAAAAAAACAAATTCACAACATCAAAATAAAATTCACAAAGAAACAAAAAATATAACTTTTTCTATTACTAATGAGTGACTGGACAGTCAACAACAATTAACAATATTTTTTACATTAATCATTGTCAATTTGTGTTGCTAAGTCAACATTTAATATGGCGAATTAAACATTGTTTATTTTGCCTATTTGAGGTATTACACTTCATAGAAGTTGCTGCAATAATCCATATATAACATGAATAATCTGGATCATAAATATACAAAACTTTTTTCATAATATTACTAGCTGCATCAATAGCTGAAATAGTCAGTGATAAGTATGACATTGTCCTTTAAAGTAATGTTTCTCTATTAGTATAGACTGCATTTTATATATGTATACATTAAATGCTCATTTTTATTTTTTTAAGTGGGAGGCAGCCTTTTAAAGTAACCAGTAAAAGGCATATTAGAAGAAACCTACTTTCAAAAAGTAAAAATATACACTACAATGAAAAAAATGGACACACCTATAACTTCTTCATGTTTAAAAATGGAAATAAAGTACCTAAACTTGAGAGAATTGGAATGTAATCCCGTCTTTTTGGTCTGTTGTTATTTCACAAAAACATGCCAGTCTATTGAGATGGCAATTGTCCAATTATCTGTGCTTTAACACTGATGATATAATTCAAGCCAGCTAGAAGTTAAAATATCCCTCCAGAGTCAAGTTGTTTTCCTTGTTCACATCAGCGTTGTAGGTTTTTTTGTGGGTATTTTTTCTGTCCTCTTAGGAATTCAGTGTTTATAGCTGGAAAAGTTCCTCATGAAGCTTAATTGGGAAAAAATATTCTAAAAACATCAAATTTAGAATGCTTGATTTTGTTAAAACTCACTAGAGTTAGGATTAGTAGATAACTTTTAGTCACAAAACTAATAAAATCCTTATATACAATTATTCTGACTTAAGTATCAGTTAATCTTGTAACGTTTTTTGCCTACTTCTATCTCTGGGGTTTTACTTTGTTTCAAAATGCTGCCCTTTAACTTTATCGTGGTGCTGTATTTATCTACACAGACACATCCAGAAATCATTTGTTTTAGACACACAGATGGATGAATGGAAGGACAGACAGACAGACATAGAGATTACTATATGACTCTGAAATTTTTCGAGGAGCCTAAAAATTAAACAACAATAGAAGTGAAGTTGAAATGATACAGTTTCTAACATTTCATGTAATTTCCTAATAATAAATGCACAAGGTAAATATTCCACTTCAATGCCTCTTTGAATGAAATTACAATAAAAACATAACATGATATAAAGTTAACAATATTATATTCATCCAAATCCAATCACAACTTTGTCAATATGCACAAATAAAGAACATGAAATATATATGACACAAATAAAATCTTAATTCAAACAATCCATTTTACAGAACATTCATATAACTAAACATACAAGGAAAAAATGCTATGGTAAGGAGTGAAATTCTTAAATTAGCAAGTTCCTAAGTTTGTAAACAAGAATGCACATGCTGTAATGTATCCACTTCTTCACGCTGATTATTATGAAATTTCATGCTGAGATCATTAAACTCATTATAGGCATCAGATTTACTTAACCTAATCAATGATCCATGAAAGTGAGGGAACACCATTTAAGATAGACATGTACACCTAACCATCATTCTACAACACTGAATGAAGTTAACCTTTTACTCAATAGTATGTGAGAAACATTACTAATCACAAAATATTAACATTGACAAACGAACCATGAAAATGAGGTCAAAGTCAGATAAACTCCATCACAAACATATATACACTAGCATTTTGGGAGAATACGACTAAATCACAAAAACTTAACATACATTGATCATCAAACCATGAAATCAGGTAAAGATCAGGTGAACACTTTCTAACTGACTTTTATGCTTTGCAATGATTCTTAACACCAAACAGCTGTCCCATTACTCATAATAATTGAATTATCTCTTCAAACTCTGTAAATCTTATCATAAAAGAAGCCTTCCACAAATGTTTATTCTGAAAGTATATAGTTATTTCATGTACAGATATGACTAAATAATTTTATATAAACCTGAAATAAAGCAATTTAAAGCTAAAATTATTTTTTTCATATATTTTATATCTTCTCAAAGCTTATAATAATATTAAATATTTCACCCAGGGGTTTTAAATCTGTTTTTACAATTTCTTGTACCTAATTCCTTTTTTAAATACAAGATTTAAATACAGTTATGGAACTCACATTAGCAATATCTATCCTATCCAACTTCACCATTATAATAAAATGCTCCGCTGGGGCGCAGCTTGATACGACCGCAGAGGTCGAACCCTGAACAGTTGGGGCAAGTATGGACACAACATTCAAGCTTGATACAGCACTGAATTTGGATTGTAATTAAATATTTGACACAGCATAGGTTTCTCACACAGAATGAAAGTGGTCTTAGAACTTAAAAATTTTTATTTACCTATTCAAACCATATCATTATTATTTGCTTTTATATATAAATCAGAAATAACCAATTTAAAATGGAAAATTTTAAAGAAAAAAAATGAAAAAAAAAAATCCCCCCCCCAATTTTTTGAACCCCCTTATGATTCATCACCCCCAAACTCCATCCCAGCTTTCCCTTTGTGGTATGGTACCTTGCAGTACAATTTCAGAGAGATCCATACACTTGAACACAAGTTATTGTCTGGAAACTAGAAAAATGCTTGTTTTTTGGCCCCTTTTTGGCCCCAAATTCCTAAACATTTAGGGCAATTACCCCCAAACTCACACCCAGCTTTCCCTTTGTGATATGGAACCTTGAAGTACAATTTCATAAAGATTCATACACTTACACACAAGTTATTGTCCTGAAACTAGAAAAATGCTTGTTTTTTTGCCCTTTTATAGCCCCTAATTACTAAAATTTTGAGGGAATTACCCCCAAAATCAATCCCAGCCTTCCCTTTGTGGTATGGTACCTTGCAGTACAATTTCAGAGAGATCCATACATTTCAACACAAGTTATTGTCTGGAAACTAGAAAAATGCTTATTTTTTGGCCCCTTTTTTGGCCCCTTATTCCTAAATTTTTTGGGCAATTACCCCCAAACTCAATTCCAGCTTTCCCTTTGTGATATGGAACCTTGTAGTACAATTTCATAAAGATCCATACACTTACACACAAGTTATTGTCATGAAACTAGAAAAATGCTTGTTTTTTGCCCCTTTTTTGCCCCTAACTCCTAAAATTTGGAGGCAATTACCCCCGAAATCAATCCCAGCATTCCCTTTGTGATATGGAACCTTGTGATACAATGTCAGAGAGATCCATAGACTTACACACAAGTTATTGTCATGAAACTAGAAAAATGCTTGTTTTTTGCCCCTTTTTGGCCCCTAATTCCTAAAATTTGGAGGCAATTACCCCAAAAATCAATCCCAGCATTCCCTTTGTGATATGGAACCTTGTGGTACAATGTCAGAGAGATCCATACACTTACACACAAGTTATGTCTGGAAGTTACAAAAATGCTTATTTTTGGCCCCTAATTCCTTAACAGTGGGTACCATAACCCCCAAAATCAATCCCCACCTTCCTTTTGTGTTATTGAACCTTATGGTAAAATTTCATTGAGATCCATATACTTAAACTAAAGTTAGAGTGCGAAAACTAATGTGTCTTCGGACGACGACGACGACTACGACACCAACGTCATACCAATATACGACCACAAAATTTTTTTTGCGGTCGTATAAAAACTGATGTTCAAGATGCAGGGGCATTTAGCATTTGATAGTACAAAAGATAAAAACTAAAACAACAAGAGTTTCAATGTCCACAGTGTTGCACATATTTTATCTGTCCAATAAATATCTTATGTAATGCAATTTCCAATATAATAAATATTTCCAAGGGCATGACTCTTTCAAAATCATTTGATCAGCACTTATTTTCAAAATTGTCCAAGCCATTGCTGATTTAAACCTTTGATATACATTTGATAAAAATTTGGCAAAAATTGTACACTTGAGAGCACTTACAATCAGTCAGGGGTACTACTTGTACAAGTAATTTTTATTTACTGAAGAAGTAAATATTAATACTTATATAAGTAAATTTGTAGGATATTTATAAAGTGTATTTTATTTACTTGTACAGGTAAAAAAAAAAATGGGCTTAGTTATGTCCCTTAGACATTCAGATTTTTACTTATACAAGTAAAAAGTCATCCTATCTTCTTTTCTTGAATTCTTAGGACTTCTTTGCCCTAATAGAATTTTTGTTTGTCTGTCCATTGCAGATGTCTTTACTAATCATTTAAGTGTAATTTCAAATGAAAATTTGTCTGTTATCATTAGAACACTGCTCATTTCCAAGCCCCCAAGGTGCAATTTTTGAAGGCCTTGCACAATCAGTTTCTTTATTGAATTAATGAGATGAAACATTGAACTCTAATAAAAAATTATGAGCTAACCTGAGAAAAATTGTTAAAGGCATGTCTTTACATCTCAAAACTTGAGAATTTTTGTGGGATTGTAAAAAAATTTACTTATACAAGTAAATTTTTGAGAAAATTAAGGGGAGATTATTCAAACATTATAATTAACTTATATAAGTTTATTTTATTTACTTCTTCAAGTAAATAAAGATTACTTGTACAAGTAGTACCCCTGACTGACAATGCAATTTTCAATATAATTAAATTTCCAAGGGGCATAAATTTAAAAAATTATTTATCGGCACTGACTTTCTTACTTGTCCTAGACATTGATAATATGAAAATATGATCTAAGTTTCATAAAAATGCAGCAAGAATTGTACACATGAGAGCGCTACCCGAGACATTGCTGATACAAACCTATGATATAAGTTTTATAAAAATCTGTTAAGAATTGCACATGTGAGAGCACTGACAAGACCAGATGGATGGAGGGGTGGACACACGGTATTTTTATGTCCCAGCAATGAACTGCACAGGGGGCAAACAAAGGGAAGAGAAGTGTAACTGTTTATGAGAAACCTGCAATATGTAACTATTTAAAAAAAAAAGCATTTTTTTAACTAAAAATATAATTTGTAACTCATAATCAATTCAGGATAACTTGCGATCAATTCTATTGGTAAGATTTACTGTTTAATAGATGTATCAAATTAGATGAAGAAAAAAAAAGAAGATTGAAGGAAAAAGTTGCCTAATTTCCAATCACTTTGCAATTCTTTCTACTTAAGCCGTTTAGTATTGATAAATGTAGGAATACACAATTATGTTGTGGACTTCCACAGTGTAAAAATTTACTGTAGTTTACTATATTAAAACTTAGAAAATATAACAATTTAAACATTCTACAATACAAGAACTATATAAAGTTATTTTTTTATCTCTGTAAACAAGTCAATAAGATGTCTAAGACCAAAAAGGTATCCTGAATCAGGCCCATTATGTACTGTTTTGTCATCCTGTATACCTATATGTGTACTATGAGCAAAGTCAATCATTCTGATATCTATTTTACAGTTGTCTGGTCTATGACATTGCTTTTCTCCCTTTTGATTATTGTCACAATTGCAATTACCTCCCTTAGTTGGTCCATTAGTTGATGAACTCTGACCTTTGTCATTATCATTCTGAGAACAGTGTCCTTCATACATAAGCAGTAAAGAACTTGAGTAAAAACGGAATGTATCTTGCTCAGTTAGAATACGAGACAATTTTTGGAGTTGACTAATAATACCATCTATAACATCTGTACGAAGTTCATAACCATTATGTAGAAACTGGTGCAGTGTTTGTTTAAATCCTTCTAATGTTAAAGATCTCCCATAATACTTATTATGGCAAATATATTTCCCTGTTTTGGCTTGGTAAACCTACAAAAGAAGGATGAGTAAATACAAATTGATGGAACTCTTAAGCTTTAGCAATCCTACTAAGTGAGGAGTTAAAAGAATAATTGTTGAGAAGGAATTATGAATATAAGATGTATACTCCCATATGTAGAATGCTCAAGTTTTGCAATGAACCCCTAAAATAATATTTATATAAAGTAGAAAATAAAAGGAGAATCTGTCTATAGGACACAGATACCTCCACTTGTAAATATGCAAGAGTCAATGTACTAATAACAGGCTATTTTTTGAACTTGGAATAATTTTTAATTATGGAATTTGCATAATTTCATGTGTTTGAAATTTTTGATAAATTCCATGTTTATTAAGTATTATTATGTTTTGAGCGGTGCATAACACTTTCCACACAATGTATTTTGTATAGATAGTGTTGTGTGCGGCACAGTACATTCTTTTGAAAATGTGCTATCTTCTTTGTAATAGAAAGTGTTGTGCGCAGCACAGAACATTATAATACAGAATAAACATTGAATTCATTAAAAATTTCAAGCACAAGAAATAATGCAAATTCCATAATTAAAAATAATTCCAAGTTCAAATAATAGCCTGTTTAATTCAAACCTATTGACATTTTGTTTTCTTTAAAACTTAATGACATTTGTTTTTGTATGTTGTAATTAAAGATTGCTCAGGGGTTTGAGTGCTGTCATTGTTCAATAACAAAAGAAATGGGGTAACTCTAAAACTGAAAGTGACTTCACCCAAATTTGAATTTAATTTGTGTTTGGTGGTAATAAGCATTGTGTATATGTTTTGTAACATTTGGTTAAGGCAAAGTAAAGTTACAGTGCAGAAACAGCAATTTTATCCATTTATAAAGAGACATAACTCAAGAACAGTGAAAGTGATGCAACCCTATTTTTAAATTTATCTGTGTTTGATTGTAATAGACATTGTGAATAAGATTCATAATATTTGGTTGAGGCAAGGTAAAGTAAGACTTTAGAAACAGCAAATTCAGAAATTTTCCCATTTATAAAGGGACATAACTCAGGAACAGTGAAAGTTACACGTCCAAATCTGAAATTAATCTGTGTTTGGTGGCAAAAAGCACTGTTTTTAAGTTTCATGGTTGAAGCTAACTTAAGTTAGAAAACTGAAACAAATTTTAGAACATACAAGAGTAAACCTTAATGCCCCTTTGCCTAGTGCAAAAAAAACGATCAATTGCACGGACACATAAATAACCATATATATAATATATTAAATATCAAGACAATTAACGTCAATAGATGCATTGAAAAAAACAAATTTCTTGTTAGAGGGGTCTAAATACAGAACAAACAACATTTTCCAAAAGACCAAAAAAGTGAAAAGTATATTTTAACAAAACGCATTTGACTAACCGGTCGAACAACTGATGTTCTTAAACCCTGCTGACTGCCATTCACGATTGCCAAATAAATTGATCACGAGATGTAACATGGATCTTAATTATTAATTTAATACCAAACAGAAAACAATAAACTTGCAGAGAAGATGGTATACCGCAAACATGACGTGCAAAAATTTGTACACCATATCCCGCTTATGACAATTATATATATATATATATATAATTTGTCTAAATAACAACCCAACAATGTTAGATTTTTTCCTGCAAATTTTTTGTTCTTCCCTGGCCAGGATTCGAACTCATGCTACTGAGATATTGTAGCACCAAATTGCCTATTTGTAAGATCCTCTATGATAGATAATTCAGCTGATCTGTAATATTCCATCTTCATGCCTTATATATCATGTACTGTGTTACGACTCTAGATAAAAACTGATGAGGAAAAGTAACACCCGGCCACCAAAAGCTTGATTTTTGGTCGAGTGGTCTAGCGCGTCGGGCATAGTGCAAGGTGATTTGGTGCCACGATATCTCAGTAGCATGAGTTCGAATCCAGGCCAGGGAAGAACAAAAAAATTGCTTCAGCAAATTTACAGATCTAACATTGTTGGGCTGTTATTTAGACGAAATATGTATACAGAATGTGTTTTCAGCCTTGTATCATCATCACTGGTGATCTGATGGATAAAATCTGTCGTAGAGTTGTCACTGGTTCAGATGTACTTATATACAGATAGACAGGTTGTAGGTATTCCTATGGGCACTAATTGCGCCCCTTTAATAGCAGACTTGTTTTTGTACTGTTATGAATCACAGTTTATAACCAAACTTTGTAAAGACCCGTCTAAATTGCATTTAATTGATAAATTCAACAACACTTACCGTTATCTTAATGATATTTTTTCGTTAAATAATCAAGAATTTTCTCAATATACTGCCGAAATTTACCCAAAGGAACTTACTTTAAATAAATCAAATTTAAACGATAACAACTGTCCTTTCCTAGATTTAGATATTTGGGTTTTACACGGGAAACTCCACACTAAAATTTACGACAAAAGGGACGATTTTTCGTTCCCTATTGTTAATTTTCCCTTTTTGGATGGTGATGTTCCTTTGGCACCATCTTACGGTGTTTATATTTCACAACTCGTTCACTATGCCCGTGTCTGTTGTGACGTTTTTGATTTTAACGAACGTAATCTATGTATTACTGGAAAATTATTAAGCCAGGGATTTCGTTACCACAAATTACTTAAAACCTTTACTAAATTCTTCCACAGATATAAAGATTTGGTCTTGAAGTTTGGTTGTACCTGTAGAAAACTTATTTAAAACGGGATTGCACATCCTCATTTTTACGGCAATATTGTTTACCGTGCCCGGAAAATTTAGAAACGATCCTGGTAAACTTATCAAACCTTTAAATAAACTTATTCTAAAAGGTTACCAATTCTACACTGTAATTAGATCATTAAATATTGTTTTTATTGGTACTGATATTGATTTTGTTATCAGTAAATTAAAAGCAACCTAAATATTATTGTTATATACATATACACATTCATGGATCTACAATCTGTCGATACCTGTATCTTGGCATTGCACAAGGTCATGTTTTTATCTGACAGTTTATGACTTCTTTACACTAAATCCATTAGATGTTGGATGTGTACGGATTGATAATTTAGTCTTAGATGCATGATTTTTTTTATTAGTTGCTAGTGGCTTAGAACTAGCTGTCAGTAACTGCGAGTACTCTCAGATCTGTACTTAGTGTCTTTTTGTTGTTTGAATGTACAAGTACCCGGCCACGTCCACTTGTATTTGTAGTATTTGTATTTTTATCCATCTGATGAGTTAAGCCTCTTTCAACTGATTTTTATAGTTCGTTCTTATGTTGTACTGTTACACCACTGTCCCAGGTTAGGGGGAGGGTTGGGATCCCGCTTACATGTTTAACCCCGCCACATTCTGTATGTATGTGCCTGTCCCAAGTCAGGAGCCTGTAATTCAGTGGTTGTCGTTTGTTTATGTGTTACATATTTGTTTTTCGTTCATTTTTTGTACATAAATTAGGCCGTTAAGTTTTCTCGTTTGAATTGTTTTACATTGTCATTTCGGGGCCTTTTATAGCTAACTGTGCGGTATGGGCTTTCCCCATTGTTGAAGGCTGTACAGTGACCTATAGTTGTTAATTTTTGTGTCATTTGGTCTCTTGTGGAGAGTTGTCTCATTGGCAATCATACCACATCTTCTTTTTTATAAGGCAGAGTCTAAAACAAATGTCATGTCGAAATAAGTAGACTCTCACATTTATAACATCATTTCGGGGCCTTTTATAGCTGTCACTGCAGTATGGTTTTGCTCATTGTTGAAGCTGTATCTTGACCTATAGTTGTGAAAACTTCTACGTCATTTGGTCTCTGGTGGAGAGTTGTCTCATTGGTAATCATACTACATCTTCTAATTCTAATAATGTATTTAGATTTTACTGATAAATGTATCACTAACCTGCATCCCACAAAGTCTACTGCCAATTATACTTGAGGTAGATGTCTGACATTTTTTCATAAACCTTTGTTTTTTCTCCTCTGTAGCATCATCACCATGTTGTCGTGTTCCCATCTTCATGTCTAATACACACGGGTTCTGAAATTTTTCTGCTACATTTTCCAACAGTATAAATTCTGAACATTGTTAAGAACAAATATTAAAAGAATTTCTTTCAGTATACAACAGATATTTAAACTTTAGTTTTTAGCAGTGATTTTTTTTTACTTATGGAAATTTAAAATACCATAATTCCTAGTGTTTTTGAGATAGGCAGTCAAAACAAAAATGTAAGTTTCATGCTTATTTTACAGACACTAATTAACTTGCATTTACATTGTATATAAAAATCCCTTACTTTTTAAAGTTGAATTAAAAAAAATACAAAAATTCATTAAACAGGATAATATGTGCTTCTGTTGGCCATCTTTTTAAAAAATCAAATTTAAACAACTGGCACCACATGAAGAATTTTTTAAAACAATGACTTGTGTTGGGTTCATAATGGATAAGCAATTTAAAAGAGAGTGAAAATATTGTTGTCTTCAGCACATGCCTTATAGCCATCATTCAGAAACTTATCAACCAGGGGGGAGAGCACGTAAACATTCCTATTCAAAAATACTAATAATATTAATTGTACTGAAAATCAAACACTTCAAAGATTTAGTTAGTGCAAGAATAAGTAAAAAACAAAGGTGGTATCCAGGCAACAACAGTGCCATTACAGACAAGATCACCTGAGGTAATAACTCCCTCCTTTATCCTTTACTATTCATTATGTTGGGTATAAAAAATGAATAAAATTTTGTCCCAATTTAAATGTGTCGGTTCTTTAATGTAAATTAAATGAAATTTCCCATCAAATGTACAGAATGAAAAATATACACCTATTTGAACCATTTATCTATTTACAAAGCTGATATTGGTAGTAGACAATACAAACTAATTCGTTTATCTTCTATATTGCTCTGACATTTAAACCTGGAGGACACACAGCCTTATTACATAACAATATTGAAGAGGATTCTTTGACATTTCAATCAGACTTGCATGACTTTTAACTATTAATGATTATATCAAAACTGATAATTCTTAACCTCATTACTCAATTTATTGTACATTTTGAATCCTTCATAAGCGATAGGAAAATGGATTCTAGGAAAATCATCTCTGTAATTTTCAGTGCAGTTGCAAGAACATAATGTTTCCCTCATTGCATCTGCAATATGGTTGACTTTACATACGTAGTATTATATAATTTAGAGGATAGTTAAAAGACTGGGTAGTTGTCTATAAGATCTGTTAGAAATAAACATCATGTTAACCTACTATACAGCAGGATTTGACAAACTGCAATATGTCTCATCAGAATTACTGATTTTGATTTAATAATATGTAACATTATGTTGAAAGTCTTTTGAGTGCATGTGAAAATTTAAAAGAGAATTTCAAACATGTAAAACTTTCCAATATTTTACTTGATTAAAAAGATAATTCAACCACTGATTAAAATGTTGAATCAAAAAATCATTAAAACAGTCAAGGTCAGATGTAATTGTGGCCCTGTAGTCAAAGAGACAAAATATTCTGTAAAAATGTTTCCAGACCAGTATGGAAAAACAGGCCATCTATGCATCCCACAAAGAACACAGATTACCTTATCAATGTTTATGAAACAAATGGAAGAGACAGGCTTACTTAACATCCAAAGAAGATAACAGATGGCCCAGTATAAAGGTTTCAAGACAAAGATTGAAGAAACAGGCTAATTGTACATCACAGGAAGTGGAGGAGAAACAGGAAGATAATAGATGGCTCTGTGTGAATGTTCAAGACAAGTGGAGGAGAAACAGGAAGATAATAGATGGCTCTGTGTGAATGTTCAAGACAAGTGGAGAAGAAACAGGAAGATAATAGATGGCTCTGTATGAATGTTCAAGACAAGTGGAGAAGAAACAGGAAGATAAAAGATGGCCCTGTATGAATGTTCAAGACAAGTGGAGAAGAAACAGGAAGATAATAGATGGCTCTGTGTGAATGTTCAAGTCAAGTGAAGAAGAAACAGGAAGATAATAGATGGCTCTGTGTGAAATTTCAAGACAAGTGGAGAAGAAACAGGAAGATAAAAGATGGCCCTGTGTGAATGTTCAAGACAAGTGGAGGAGAAACAGGAAGATAATAGATGGCCCTGTATGAATATTCAAGACAAAGACAGAAGAAACAGGAAGGTTATTGACGGCCCTGTGTGAATGTTCAAGACAAAGAGAGAAGAAACAGGCTAATCTGAATGCCTTTAAAATATAATTATACAATGTATCATGTCTATCAGGTTAAATTGCATTTCTATTAACAAACACATGTAATTTAGATATTTAAATGACTATTACACTGGACACTGGTGAGTTCATGTTATTTTTATCAATGAAACAAAAGGTATGAAAGGTTCATTCTGTCAGTTCTTACTTTTTCACGAAATACCGTAATACAGAGATTTTTTACAATATCAAAATACATTGTATTGCATTATTCAGAAATTTGAGAAACTTTTATAGATCTTTGGTTTTTATTCTTAGAAAAAGTTTTTATTAGAGGGATAACATTGAAGTATACTGTAAATTCAGAAATTATTGCGATGTTTTTATTATTGCGAAAAATGCGACTGGGTTATAATCGCAATAATTTGAACTTGCATTTTGAAATTTTTTATATGAATTAAACAGGATTTTTCTCAATATCGCAAAAATTAAAATCGCATTTTAGTCTAAAATGACAAAATCGCAATAATAAATGCACGCAATAATTTCTGAATTTACAGTATATGCAATGTAAAAAGCTTATGTGTCTCAACAGAAAACAGCATCCTTCAGTATTGTTAAGCTGTTGTCATTCAAATCTAACCTTAAGAAAAAGCACTGAGTAAATAAAGTCAAAATATGACCGATCTGCCTATTTTTGCACATAAAAAGTCATTTGATCATTTTAAAGCTGGATTTGTCTCCCCCACAAAATCTTGTCAGGACTATAATTGAAAGGTATTTATATATTATAAGTATCCATAACTGATTACTCTAGATCAATCAGTCATGACCACAATCAAACTAGTGTTAGATTATTCAGTATACTAAACACTGTATTAATCAGAATTGGAATTATTCTTAATTATCTAGATTTTGTAATTATTTCCTAAAGTAAAAAATCTTCTGTGCACATAACAAATTTAAATTCTATTCACTGAACAGAGTAAAATGTCTAACAGAACATACATTATTCATATTATTTGTCAAATGAAACACTCTTTGCACAACAAAAACATTTTAATTAAATTTATGTGCATTGCACAGGAGTTTTAATCTGTATTTTGGCTTCAAAGTAAAAGGTAAAATTTCATAACTGAAAATATTTCTAGTTCTTAATGATACATTCTATGTGTTTTTAAATGAATACAATGGGTACATTTCCACCTGAGATAAGGGATGAAATCCTATATTATAATAGACACTAGAGGTCTTAATTTACACTATTTACATATCATACCACTTATATCTGGTTATTACCCCAATTTACAGAAACACTGAAGGTCAGTACATAGTACCTACTAGTTATATCAGGGTAAAAGTGGTATGTTTACCTGTAGTTAAACTGCTTATTGTTCAACGTTAAGTACATGTACTAAGGTCTTTCCTTTATTCAATCAAGCAATTAACCAATAGTTAGAAAGAGGTAATTACCTTACATACTATTAATCCTAATGTCAGTACAATTGTATATTACAATCATACATGTACTAGATTAGATGTGTACTTTTAGTCTTAAAGATTTTGTAGAGAGATTCCTAATACTAACTATTATCAAATTTACAACAATATACAAAATATTATTAGATTTAAATTTAAAATTAAATATAAAAAGTGTTGTCATCTACAAGTTTTCTTTGATACTAAATCTTTATATATTTAAATGATGATATTGTAAATTGTTAACATTGTCATATGTTTATAACCATGATAACTGGTCCTAAATATTCAAAATTTTATTCTAAAATAATTTCAATATTTTTTTTCTATTTCAATATCTATATGCACATCTTTACTTTTCCACATCAGAAACTCCTAAGTAAGATACAATATTAAATGCATTTAAAGTACATAAACTGAAATATTGATATAAAATTAACAGTAAATGAAGGATGACTAGCAGGCGATAGACTTGGACACAACTCCTACTTAAAATGATATACTTTTGTCAACTTCAACCCACCTACATTCTTATTACAGCATTTGAAATTTGTTAACAGCATGCTTAATAAATTTTTGATGATAAAAAACAGTTATTGGCAATGCATCAGTGCAACAAGTCTAAAGTTCTATATCAGATTAGCATTAAAACATAATAAAGCAGATACTCTTTTAACGTAATATTAAAATCAAATCAAATACAGAGTAAAAATTGAAAGCCAGTTATAAGATGTACTTAAGCAATTTAATCAGATCAAACAATTCTCAGCTATTTAAAGATCAAGCTAAATCAAAATAAAAAGGAATATAAAATAGTTTTTAAATTGAAGAAAAAACAGTCATACCTTATTTATATAAAAATAAGGGGATGTGGTATGATTACCAATGAGACAACTATCCACCAAAGTTCAAATAAAGTGGATGTAAGCAATTATAGGCAACCATACGGCCTTCAACAGTGAGAAAACCCCATAACATACAGTTGGCTATAAAAGGCCCTGACATGAAAAATATCTTGTTTATGTTGAAACAGCCAACACTGCAAAACAAGGTTTCAATTATTTTGATTTTGTATATAGGACTGTCAAAGTATGTGTTAAGCTTTTATATCATTCACTAAGTAAATAGTTTTACTTTCAGTTTCAGCTTTTCTGCATAAGGATATTTAAGCAGCTGCTATTATAAAAATAAGGAGACGTGATATGATTGCCAATGAGACAACCATCCATCAAAGTTAAAATAAAGTGGATGTAAGCAATTATAGGCAACCGTACGGCTTCAACAATGAGAAAAGCCCATACCTTATCGTCAGCTATAAAAGGCCCTGACATGAAAAATATGAAACAGTTCAAAGTTTGTTTCTATATGCAGTTTTCTGGCCAGTGATATCACCTAACGAGTGAAAAGGCTGACATCATGTCCAGCAGCTGACGTATTTCTAAAAACAGAGAGAATCTGGTTATTATAATCCCTTACATTGTTTGGATCCCTACAAAAGTGTTTACATGTTTTGCAAGCTTATTGATAGGAACAACTGTAAGTTATTACTTTAGGTCAGTAAAAATATGGAGGTGCGAGTGGTATGATTGCCAATTAGATCACTACCATTGAAGAACAAAAGATAATTACAGGTAGCCATAAGACCTTAAACAATTAGCAAAACCCATACTGTATAGCAAGCTATAAAACCCCCATGTGAAACAGTTAAAAGAAAACTAATGACTAGATTTATACAACAACAGTTATCTGTTTATCCTGTTCTTATGTATGTTTATAATGATGGTGTTGTTATGTATGTTTATAATGATGGTGTTGTTATGTATGTTTATAATGATGGTGTTGCTATGTTTTGAAAGTTTGAGCTTACAATGTTAGCTTAAAGTCAGTGCCTGTCATTCCTGTTTTACTACTATAATATGTCAGTGGACAAGTGTAAGACAATATTCTTAACGTCTGTTAACTATCATATTAAAGATTTATGAAGGTTTCTACTTAAGGCAATCAAATTGTGTAATCACTTTGTCAGATAGATTACCACTAATTTCCTGACATAATACTCCAATATAATCAATAATGTTTATATTCTTAGTTTCAAATCTCTTCTATATAAGGTTTAATCAATGTATAATTATATATAATGAAGAAATAACTTTCAATAACAGTGACTTTCATATATGCATCCCCTATTTATACTGCTGTAGATAAATACAATGTCATACATTAACTCCATAGAGGTTAAATAAAGGTCAACAGGGGTAAAAATTAATTAATAATTTACTAAAACAGATCAATATTGTTATTTGTCAGATATACTTTTTAAAACTTGTTTGTAGCAGCTTTAATTAAAATAACCTGATAAATGCATCGACTTTTTACTGTTTCTATTAATGTGTTAACTGAAAGGCTCCTCACATTTTGCATACAAAAGACCTCAAGAGATCCACAGCAGTTCATATGGTTATAATACCTACACTGAATTCAGTTCAGTGACAGAATGAACAACGGACTGCCCTGACAAAGGGAAATAAGAGGGCTTAGAAACAGTTAGTCTTTGCAAAGAGCAAATTAATCATCAAAAAGTCATTAATCCATTTAAAGAATCATTTCTTTTCAAATGAAAGTAAACTTGTTCTTGATATTCCACACTTCCAAACCTTTGCTTTCATTAGAAATGGTATCAAAGTACAACTAGTTTTTAAACAAAAATTCTTGCCTTGTGATTCTAAGTGGATACCTGAAATGCATATATATAACAGAGGCTTATAAAAAATTAACTTTGATATATTTTACCAAGCTGGTATAAAAATCTTCTTGGAAACCCTAAGTAGGGTATCAGTACAAAGCAGAGTTTTGATGGCCATACGGTGACCTATAGTTGTTAGTTTCTGTGTCATTTGGTCTCTTGTGGAGAGTTGTCTCATTGGCAATCATACCACATCTTCTTTTTTATATTCATATTTATATCAAATTAACATGTTCTAGTCCTGATATTTATGTAATATTTGACACTGGATTTAAATACCACACTATCAACAACAGCATTTGTATGTGCATTCATCATCCTGTCCTTTTTTAGATTATAAAAATCAAGAAATATGACCATAATAAAAACAGTTGATAATTTTGATTATTACAAAATTGAAACTTAAAATTATTCAGCTTTCATAGGTTTATAATGGTTTCAACACTGGAAATGATATATATTCACAGAAAAGGATACTGCATTTTCTACTATCTTTATCTATCTTCTTCATCTGAGAAATTAATCTTTTCTGACATTTAACACTCCACGGATTAACTCCTGATGTTTTCCCTGACTTTCCTGGATCCACAGCATGGAATATAGTATTTGTCTGGGTACTAACTTCTACACTACCACTACGTAATAGACGGATACTTGCACTAAAATAAACCGACACACATATATAATATGAGTTATCTATAGGTTATCATATAGTTTACGTTGAAATAAAGCATATTGTACATCATGTCAATTGTTGATTTAATCTTTTCTATGGAATGCTAAAGAAATCACACTTACTATATGTGAACAAGATCAACAAGAAGCTCACTGGAGTCTGCAACACATTATCTTTTTCACCTCAGTATCATTAATATTGCTGGCTTGCTGAATTCACATGACTAAAATCTCTTGATCATTTAATACTTCTTAGCCGTAATATGTTTCCTATTTTCCAATCTTACAAGATCTCTTGTATAACTACAGTACACAAAAGTTATCAACCCAAGATCACAACATAAGGTCAGTATGCCTGACATTCAGCATTTTTTAGTGGACTTTTTACATGGATCAATGCAAAGTTCAAGGTACATTTTGGGTATTATGCGGGTCTTCAAAATTCACCATAGTACAATGATTCAACATTTGATTCTTACGATTGGAGAAATTTAAAAGAAAACTTATTTAATTTTAGAACCAATTGAAACCAATTTGTTTATGTTATCCTTCTTTTTCATTTGCAGCTGTCAATTGTTGTTTGCTGTACATAAGGTTTCAAATACTTTGTGTATATTACAGAATGTTACAGCTATTAACCAAATATCAATGTAAGATATATATCTTCTAAGGATTCTTTCTACCTTATATTAGTTTTGAACTGGTTAAGCAGTTGACAAGATTCTATAAAATTTAGCCAATGAAATCAGCATTTTTGACAAACTAGTAAACATCAAACCAATTAAACTAGGAACAACCAATCAGAAACGTACTAAGCTGATCAACATAGTCAAACTGTAATAGAAGGAGTTATTGATAGAAACAGAATGTCAAGTGATATCAACAGCTGACAACTACAGAGAGTAAATACAACAGCTGACAACTAAAGAGAGTAAATACAACAGGTGACAACTACAGAAAGTAAATACAGCAGCTGACAACTACAGAGAGTAAATACAACAGCTGACAGAGAGTAAATACAACAGCTGACAGAGAGTAAATACAACAGCTGACAGAGAGTAAATACAACTGCTGACAGAGAGTAAATACAACAGCTGACAACGAGTAAATACAAACGCTGACAACTACAGAGAGTAAATACAACAGCTGACAGAGAGTAAATACAACAGCTGACAACTACAGAGTTTAAATACAACAGCTGACAACTACAGAGAGTAAATACAACATATCGAGTTAACTAGCTGTTATGGCTGCTCTAAAGCTGTAAGAAAAAATTCACCTTTTTGGTTTTCTATTCAATTATTGCATGTGATAGATAAATAAGGAAACATTGATTTTAATTTGTCTGTTTACCTGAATGATTACTTTTAAAAGTAAACTTCCTCTAAGGCAGTCATTTAATATCAATACATGAGTGTACTATTTGAGAGAGCAACGTCAGGTATACAATGTTACAATACATACCTTGTATCAGGGTCACTATCTTTTTTCTTCTTATCTCTTAGTATAACAGGAATATCCTGGTCACTACTACTGGACTCTGGAGAAGACCGACAACTTGATACTGGGGATTTCTTGTGATCCGAGGTATCTGAGGGGTAACCCATATATGTAATATAACCATCACTATCCTCTTGTAACTTCACTTCTATTAAACCTGCAAATATAGATAGTAAAGCAGAAGCCATAAGTATGACCTTATATACCAATCTTTTATCAAATAAGACCAAAAACCATGTCTTGGCCAATAACACAAGTTTCTGTGCCATAAAGATTAAAAATTCTTAAGAATAAGAATTTGGTCAATTGTCAGGTATAACCAATCAAAAAACATGAATATGGTTGTTTTCATTGTACAATGATTTAAGAACCCTCTCAGACCAAAATCATTTCATAGCATTGAAGCCAGACATAAGTAAATATTGCAAGATTTTATGTTGTGTAGGGTTTGTATTTCTTTTTGGTAGATATCTGAACATAGTTCAAACACATATTCAATTTTAAACAGCAATTGACTTGAACATCATTTATAAAAAATATTAAAAAATTAACATAATCTTAAGTTAGTTATAAACCATAGCCTTGCATTTACGTTTGATGTGGTGATCATTAAGGGCATACGATACAGTTACAGGGGAGGTAATGACGTTGCAAACGTAAATTGTTATTTTCGCGACGTCAAACTGTGACTTATCGGGAAAAGATGCAGTTTTCGACTGATTTTCATCATTCAAACTGATTTAACTTGAAAACGATTTCATGGACCCCTCTTTTTTAAAATGGCATTTGGTTTGAATACGTAAGAAGATTATGTGTACCAATTTTCACGAAAAAGTCAATAGTGCAATTTTTTTTAATTTGATAAATATACAGCAAAAAATTACGTTTTTTTTCTACATTCATGAACATTTGATAAATATGAGTTATTTCTAAAAATAAAATGTACAAATTTATAGAACATTTATATAAAACAGAAATTACAAATAATTTAACAAAAAACAGCTTGTGTTTATCTTTTAAAACAAACAAGTTATGTATTTCTGTCGAAAGGAAAAATACGTCCACAAATCCGAATTTTGAGGAAATATCTGAAATTTCAACCTCAATTTACTCAAAAAGTAGCACATGATGGTATATTTTTTATTACATATTTGATTTAATCAGGTAAAAAATAGCCAGGCCTATATGTAAATTTTCATCAAAATTTCATTATGGGATCAAAACTGTATTGTATGCCCTTAAGGTTTGTTTTTGATGAAAACTGTTGCATCATTGTATGAAAAGACTAACAGAACACCATTATTTTTCACTTAAAATGAAAAAGTTACACTGCATTGGACCAAAGTTTGAATAATGTTACAGCCGATTTCATTGAGTGTGTAGGCAAAGGTAATTTCTTTGGTTAGCTTGCTTGTTAGCTGAACCTTGAAGTCATTACTAGGTCAGGTATACTACCCTCCTTTCCAAGTAGCTGTCGGACTAGTCTACTCTCAAAGGAGGGTAGTTAACCTAACCTAACAATGACTCCAAGGTTCAGCTATCAAGCAAGCTAACCAAAGATATCACCTTTGCCTACACACTCAATGAAATTGGCTGTAAAGGTTACAGATTACAAAAGCTAGATACCCTCTCCTGCTCTAATAATAGCATGTTAAAAAGAAGAGACATTGAATATAAACAGCATCCTGTATAATGTAAGATACAAATGTAACCAATGAACCATGACATGTAAGCAATACCCTACTTCTAATCTTAAATGCTGTTGATGTTATCCTTAATGAAGTTTCATGGTGACACCATATTAACATCATATTAAATTACCTTTACTGTGATTTATAAGCCATCATATTCGATCATGCTATCATTTTGGCAGTTATCTTTTTCTTAAAATTTTCACATACATAATGTACATCTATATGTACTGATGGGTGAAATGTTATGTTAATATCATATCATAAACCTAGTTAACCAAATTCTTCACCAGCATATACATTTTGCTATATTCAATAATTAAATTGAAATAAAGTTTAAGTAGTTTACTTGAATTGTAAAGTATGACGTTTCGTGTTGACATCATGTTAACTATTCAACATACTATTTTAATCTAATTCTATCTGTTTATGTCCACTTCATTTGGTCCCTGCTGGATAGTTTTATCATTGGAAATTATACCACATCTCCTTATTTATATATATTAACCTCAATCTTAAACATAAAAATCATGACCTTTAAACAATAAAATTTGATGTCATATCGTCCTTTCAACAAATGTTTTATATATCAAAATCTTAATTTCAATTCAATGTTGAACCTTCATATATGACATCATACTAATTTCACAAGAAGTTATTTTAAAACTTTTAAACTAAAATGGTAGAGGGAGGACATAGACACATAATTTCTCCTTAATTTGGAACTGTCTAATAATAAAATTCTATTTTCAAGTTAAATTTATAAATTTGTTATCCATCATACAATAACCATGTTTTATGAAGCACCACCTAAATGTTAACACACTATGCATTACTGAAACATGTAAAAAGTAAAATCACAAAAATACTGAACTCCGAAGAAAATTAAAACAGGAAAGTCCCTATTCAAATGGCAAAATCAAAAAGCTCAAACACATCAAACGAATGGATAACAACTGTCATATTCCTGACTTGGTACAGGCATTTTCTTATGTAGAAAATGGTGGATTGAACCTGGATTTATAGCTAGCTAAACCTCTCACTTGTATGACAGTCGCATCAAATTCCATTATATTGACAACGATGCGTGAACAAAACAAACAGACAATAGTTATATAGTATGTCATGCCTATGTATTTCAAACAGCATATACTGTAAATTCAGGAATTATTGCTTGCATTTATTATTGCAATTTTTGAAGAATGGACAAAAATGCGAGATTAATTATTGCGATTGCAGGAAAATCTGTATACAGATACATGTATAAGATATCAGAATGCAAGTTCTTATTATTGCGATATTCAACCAGTCGCATTATTCGCATTAATAAAAACCTCGCAATAATTTCTGAATTTACAGTATGTTAAATTGTTGTAGAAACATTTGCTTCTGTAGAATTTTCTCCCCATGCACATCATTGTTTTAGAGACCTTTATGTTTATGCCTTTCTCCTTTATATATTAGTTTTTTTCACAAACTTCAATGAGAAAATAAATGCATATATTCTAGTGTAGTAAATTCCAGTCACATGAACTAGTATTTGATTTAAAAATTTGCACAAAATACATACCTCTATATTCAGGTGTAAATTCTTTAAGACTTTTAGGCATGTTGAGATAGAAATAGTGCTCCCTTGGATTCAGTGGTTTACATAACGTTGTATCATTAAAGCTCATCACACTAGTGCTGCCACCAACCTGGTGGCTAAACGGCTGTAACTGTACTGGATCCATCACATTATTAACTTCTGGCATAGTGATATTGTGTATAGCCTGGTATTATGATTTAATCTAAAAAATAAACATGTACAGGGTATAGAACATAAATAACATCCTTGATCTAATTGGTCCTTTACTTCAATATATTGTCACATGTTACAACTGGATTACAAATGCTTTGATCTACTAACATCTAACTGATATAGGAGGAAGAAACACTTGAGAATTTAAACTTGTCAACTGGTGAATGACCATACTATATATATAGCTAACATGTGAAATGATGTGGAGACATAAACATGTTGCTTTTATCTTTCTTTGTACACTGATTTTGTCTCTCAATCTCATCTGACTTATTCAATGATGAGTTTTTATGAAAAACGACAATATGCACTGAAAACACTTTTAATGCTTCACAAGGAAATAATTTAAAATTATCTAATATTGAACAAACTGCTATTTGACTTATTAATGGTTTTTTAAAGATTTTAAAATTTATTTCTTTATCATGTTTCAAATGTCAGAATGGCAGGAACATTAGATATAATTTTGAAACTAGACTTCCTTTAGGATGATTGTAGTTTCATTAATTAAGTTCGAATTGGCCAAATAGGTTAATTTTAGTTAAAAAAAATATTTTAAAACTGTATGCTTGAAGATGCAAAACAAATGCCAAAGTTATACATGTAAGAAAAGCTGTGTAGTTTTTATTTCACATATGAGATAAAAAAGACATGCAAATGTGGTGAAATTCCAGTTAGATCATCTTAGATTAGGTCTAACTTGAACTGTGAATTTGTACTATAACCTTTGTCAAACAATACATGTTTCAGTCATAAGTTTATTTTTGTAATATTAATGTTCTTTATATGAGCAAAGCATGATTGTACAAATAGATGGTCCTATGTTTACCTCTTATTCATATTTCTGGATCATTCAATAATAAAATTTGGTAACTTTGCAATTGACTGATTGTTTGTTTACTGTTAATTCAGAAATTATTGCCTGCATTTATAATCGTGATTTTTGAAGAATGGACAAAAATGTGAGATTAATTACTAGTATTGAGATTTCCAGAAAATCTGCATATGCATATATGTTTGAGATTCTTATTATTGCAATACTTACCCAGATTTATTCACAATAATAATAAAAAAATTGCAATAATTTCTGAATTCACCGTATGTTTAACGCTACTTTCAGCATTATTGGGTATATCATGGCTGCCAGTTTGATTGGTGAAGGAAGTTGGAGTATTTGGAGATAACTAACATACTATTGCAAGAAAACTGGCATCCTTGTTAATCAAGATCAAAGTCAAATTCACCTGCCACAAGCAGGGTTCGAACTCACAACTTTAAGAACGACTTTTGTTTATTTCAGGTTTATCAAATTAGATTTTGTTTTTATAAAATATTCAACTGTTCATGCAAACCAAACAAAAGCTGTCCATTTGAAACAAAATCGTTCTTCTATTTCATAAATTAAATTGAGAACAGAAATGGGGAATGTGTCAAAGAGAAAACAACCCGACCAAAGAGCAGAAAATAGCCCAAGGCAACCAATGGGTCTTCAACACAGCGAGAAAATCTCGCACCCGGAGGTGGGCTTCAGCTGGCCCCTAAGTCTATAAGAATGCTCTCAAAGTGAAGAGGGCCTGAAAACAGTGGCTGATCCAGAACTTTTCATAAGGGGGGGGCCCACTGACTGACCTAAGGGGGGGCCCCGCTCTGGTCATGCTTCAGTGATTCCCTATATAATCAACCAAATTTTTCCCACAAAAGGGGGGGCCCAGGGCCCCCCCCCCCTGGATCGGCCTATGGAAAATAATTGTCAAACTGATATGTACTGATAGTAATGCAACTTAATACAAATTATCATTGATCTATCACAAGTATCAAACTGACTTAAGCAGAAAACTTAACATTAAAAAATTGCTAATTAATTCCAAGTCACTGGACCATGTCCTAGGGGGCAGGGCCTCAGAATAGTCATCAAACTGATATGTACAGAAAGTAATGAGACTTCATACAAAATGTCATTGATCTATCACAAGTAGATCCTATCAATCTAACTTAAGCAGAAAACTTAACATTTTTAAAAATTGCTAATTAATTCAAAGTCACTGGACCATGACCTAGGGGGAGGGCCTTGAAATAGTCGCCAAACTGATATGTACTGATAGTAATGCAACTTTATATCAAATATCAATGATCTATCACAAGTTGTTCCTATCAAACTAACTTAAGTAGAAAACTTAACAATTGTTGAAGCGTTTCCCCGCAGCCGGAAAAGCAATCCTTATATCTCAATTTGCATGACTTTCGTCACAGTCGAGACAAAAATTGCTGAAATAAAAAAAAATTGCAAATATTTTTAGCAGAACCATTCATAACTTTAAGCACTACATGTATATACCATACTTTCATACAGTTAAAACATGAACCACTGGAAGGCAATTTGGCAATTAAAAACCACTGATTACCATATAATAATAAGTGGAGTTCATTGATTTGCCAAGCCATTAGGCTGTGTTACCTTTCAAATTTATTACAAAAGAAATGAATTTTTTAACAATGTCAACCAGTACTGTTTATCAGCAACTAAACTTTCACTATAATTGAAAACTTGTAATAATCAAGAACAAACTTAAGCGTGAATAATTTACTCTTAACTAGAGATATTTAACATTAATAATGAAATAATTCAACACTTCCAAATTAATTCACCTGAATGAAGAAAAATGTTGATAAATACTTTAAACCTTACAACCATGAATTTTACACAATAAAAAATTAACCTCTACATAGTTTTATTACAGTAGTATTAAGATAGCATCCTCCACTACAATAAAATTATACACAATGATACATGTATTAACATGTATAGGTAATCAATGGTGAAATAGAATTATTCTCAGAATTTATACAACCAAACTATGGGAACGGTAAAACTATGCTGATTGTATAATGTCTCAAGGAAGTTTTAAAATTGATTAGTTTCTGAGAACTCAATATAGAAAGATATTAAGTGTATTGTGATATTAAGTGTTTTGTAATATATCAAATACACTTTTGGGATCAAAATATAGATTCTGGTTAGTCAATAAAAGGTGAATATTGAAGTGCATTGGAAGTCAGTTCAAGTAAAACGTTTACTGTAAATTCAGAAATTATTGTGAGGTTTTTATTAATGCGAATAATGCGACTGGTTTAGAATCACAATAATAAGAACTCACATTCTGATATCAAATACATATTTATTATAATGCAGATTTCCATTAAATCACAATAATTAATCTCGCATTTTTGTCCATTCTTCAAAAATCGCAATAATAAATGCACGCAATAATTTCTGAATTTACAGTAAGTAATCTGATAAAAATAAGTAGACATTTAAAAAGTATTTTCTGCTTAATTTTATTTTTCAAGATTTGTACATTGCCCAACTCTACAGGAACCATATACATGATATATATCACAACTTGAACAAATTTCATACCACTGTACATATAATTCATACACTAAAAAATCTGTAAAGGAAACATGACAGAAGGATTAACAAACAAAAGGAAAGAAAAAAGGAAGGACAAATAAATAAGGGAAAAGAAGATAATTATATATAACCTAAAAAAATATGACCTGATATGAAGTAAACACCCATTTCCTAGTAAACAGTTTAAGGCTTGTTATACAGTAAGGGTTTTTGTCATTGTTGAAGGCCATACAGTGACTTGTAATTGTCTTTATGGATAGTTGTCTTAATGGAATCATACCACATCTCTTAAATTTGTACAGAATTTTTGGACAAGTTATCAGTATTTTGCAAACCTCTAAACATAATTGGATAAAACCAGAACACTGTCTTTGGTTTCACTATTTATTGTCAGATTTTCATGACTGCATGCTACAGTCTTATACATAGCACTGGTACAACATTTATATAAGAATTCAGTCCCCCCCCCCCCTTTTTTCAAAAAAAAAAAAAATTGAAGGATTTTCTTTTTGATTTCTGAAATCCTGAGGAGAAAAAATTGTCCCCCCCCCCCACCCCCAATTTTTTTACCCCCTCCCCCACCACCAATTTTTTTTACCCCCTCCCCCAAATTTTTTTTAACCTCTCCCCCCCCCCCCCCCTTTTCCAAAACAAGGGTGCACACTCTGAAATGTCTCACCTTCTTTACTAACCATTGATTTTATGTTGATAGTCCTAAATATAAAGTTTTACTACAAGTAACACATAAACTTAACATGATCCAAGAAAATAAGGTCAAGGTCAGATAAACCAAACGAAAAATACATGTACACCTTACAACTATTCAATAAACCAAACACACAGTTGACCTATTGCTTATAGTTTCTAAGAAACAGGCTTAACCAAGAAAACTTAACATTGACCAATGAACCATGAAAATGGGGTCAAGGTCAGATGAACCATGCCAGACAGACATGTACACCTTACAATCAATTTATGCATTAAATATAGTTGACCTATTGCTTATAGTACAATGTATCTAAGAAACAAACTTAAACATGAAAACTTAACATTGACCAATGAACCATGAACATGAGGTCAAGGTCAGATGATACCTGCCAGACAGACATATACACCTTACAATCCTTCCATACAACAAATATAGTTGATCTATTGCTTATAGTTGAAGAAAAACAGACCAAAACACAAAAACTTAACACTGAGAAATGAACCGTGAAAATGAGGTCAAGGTCAAATAAAACCTGCGAGACTGACATGTACATCATAAAATATTTCCATACACCAAATAAAGTTGACCTATTGCATATAGTATTAGAAAAAAAGACCAAAACTCAAAAACTTAACTTTGACCACTGAACCATGAAAATGAGGTCAAGGTCAGATGACACCTACCAGTTGGACATGTACACCTTACAATCATTCCATATACCAAATATTGTAGACCTACTGCTTATAGTATCTGATATATGGACTTGACCACGAAAACTTGACCTTGTTCACTGATCCATAAAATGAGGTCGAGGTCAAATGAAAATTGTCTGACAGGCATGAGAACCTTGCAAGGTATGCACATACTA